TGTGCCCAGCCTATCCTGGTCTTTTAACAGCATTAATAGTGGCCATATGACATGTTAGGGCATATCTGTATATTGTTTACTAATGTGTTATTACTGTACCCTATGTCTTTGTGTTAAGGCATCATCTCTTTCAACGTATAAAATAGCAGAACAAGATTTTTCTTATTTCTTTCCTGATGATCCGCCCACATTTATCTTCAGTCCTGCTAACAGACGAAGAGGGAGACCTCCCAAACGAATGCCTATTAGTCAGGTAAGTAGAGAATTGATTAAAACTACATTTTCACTGTTAGTAAAACAGTATTCAGAATCAAGAAGTATGTTTGTCTCCCCTCACATCCATAGCCTAGAGGAAGAAACTCATTACCTCACCAAAAAATATGTGAGTATGTACTATATGTTGATAACTGCTCAGCAATGAGGCTTGTAGAAGTTTCAGGTGTGAATTAGATATGACTTTCATACCACAAGGATTTTATACCAAAGTGGAAGCAAGCACATAAGCAATTACTGAAATGTAAAGCAGGGAGTAAACTATGGGATTGAAGTGTAAAATAGGAATAAATTCTGACAGGAGGAAGTTATAGGGGGTTTTTAAAAAGCAATAATGCAGCCGGGCACAGTGGCTCTTGCCTGTAATCCCAGTACTTTGGGAGGCTGAGGTGGGTAGACATTTGAGTCCAGGAGTTCTAGACTAGCCTGGCCAACATGGCAAAACTCTGTCTCTACTAAAAATACAGGAGCCTGAGGCAGGAGAATTGCTCAAACCCCGAAGGCAGACAGAGGCCGAGGTTGCTGTGAGCCGAGATCATGCCACATTGCACTTTAGCCTGGACAACAAAGCCAAGACTCTGTCTTAAAAAACAAAACAAAAAAAACCTATACAAGTTAATTAGGTTAGAGACATTATTCTTAGAAGAAATAAAATAAAAATAAAATTTGACATTGGCCACAAGAATGTTTCTGGTATGTCTTTTTTCTGCATCTTTCATATTTGATATTTACACCATCTAGTTTATAAAGTAAGCTGAAAGTTTATAAAGCATTTTTAAGGCTCTTTCTATGTATTACCAATTTTTCCTGAGATATTCTTGTAATAATTTATAGAGCTACAGAGTTAACTCATGTTCTGTGTATTACTAAGATTAGAGTTACTAACAATTCAGTTGCACTTTTTTTTTTTTTTTTTTTTGAGATGGAGTCTCACTCTGTCACCCATACTGGAGTACCGTGGCACAATCTTGGCTCACTGCAACCTCCACCTCCTGGGTTCAAGCAGTTCTCCTCCCTCAGCCTCCTGAGTAGCTGGGGCTGCAAGTGCATGTCACCACTCCCAGCTAATTTTTGCATTTTTAGTAGAGATGGGGTTTCATCATGTTGGCCAGGCTGCTCTCGAATGCCTGACCTCAAGTATTCTATCTGCCTTGCCTTCCCAAAATGCTGCGATTACAGGCATGAGCCACTGTGCCCGGCCCAATTATACTTTAGAATAAAAACTCATTTTAGACTGGGCATGGTGGCTCACACCTGTAATCCCAGCACTTTGGGAGGCAGAGGTGAGTAGCCCACTCGAGGTCAGGAGTTCAAGACCAGCCTGGCCAATATGGCAGAACCCCATATCTACTAAAAATACAAAAAAAACTTAGCCGGGTGTGGTGGCACATGCCTGTAATCCTAGCTACTCAGGAGGCTGAGGGAGAAGAATCACTTGAGCCCAGGAAGCAGAGGTTGCAGTGAGCCGAGATCACACCACTGCACTCCAGCCTGAGGGATAGAGCGAGACTTTGTCTCAAAAAAAAGAAAAGAAAAAAAAAAAATCATTTTAGTATAAAGAAAGTGTAATTGGTGAAAGTTTTAATTTTTTTGCTTTTTATTCTTACTATAAGAACCAGGCATACTGGTGTGGTTTGTTTTTTTAGGAGGACAATGTTGCTAATAAACAGACTCTTGCAAGTTATAGGAACAAAGCTACTAAAGAAAGAGATAAACTTTTGAAACAAGAAGAAATGAAGTCACTGGGTGAGTTTTAACATTCTTTCCAAAAGCTGATTAGGAATAAGAAAGAATATTTCTCTGTGCCTGATTGGGGGATATTTCTGAAATGGCATGTTTCTGGTTAATTGTTTTGAAGTGCAGTTATTTTTTCTATCAGATAACTATTGTTTATTTGTTTGCTTGTTTTATATAAGACCACTTCATCTCTTAAAATTTCATGGTCTTGCATATGCCCTATTAAATTGCTTAGTGCTAGATTAAGCAGAAGTTTGAGTTTCCGGGGCTTACAAACTGGGGCTATTTTGTTTGATTCACAAAGCCTTTTAAAACATTGCTTCCCAAACTTGAATATATATATGAATCACTTGGGGATCTTGTTAAAATGAAGATTCTAAATTAGTAGGTCTGGTTGGGGAATGAGATTCTGCATTTTTTAACAAGGTGATGATAACTTTGCTGCTGGTCTTCAGATAACACTTTGGGTATTAGGGCTTCCAAAGGCACATATATGTTTGTCCCAATACTGTAGTTTGTCATAAACTTAGCCAATTTGCTTTTCCTATTTTAATCACCTGCTGGTTCCCTCTAGGAATTTTGAGAGTCTCTACTAATCTCATTTATTTCAAGGATTCTGTCGTTATATCAAAACAAATTGCCAAGTGTTATTTTTTGTCTATATATAGTTCTAAGTTTGATTTTTCTCCACAGCTTTTGAAAAGGCTAAATTAAAAAGAGAAAAAGCAGATGCCCTAGAAGCGAAGAAAAAAGAAAAAGAAGATAAAGAGAAAAAGAGGGAAGAACTGAAAAAAATTGTTGAAGTGGAGAGACTAAAGAAAAAAGAAGAAAAAGAGAGGCTTAAAGTAGAAAGAGAGAAGGTATTCATTTGAGTATATTAGCTATACTCTCTACATATAGTACTGCTACTTTACATATCTACCTCCATGGTTGATTTTCAAATGCTTTTACTACTTTCTTTCACATTTATGAATGTGCATAGAAAGCTGATTGTTTTATCTCCCTTTTGCTTTGGAAAATTTAACATGCCTTTACACATCACTTAAAACCTCTTTTAGAATGCAGTTCTAAATGATTTCATTGTTTAGACTTCCAAATTTAGGGAAGATTATATATGTAAAAGTTTATATGTAAAACTTTAAGAGGTAAAATACACAGTTTGAAAAATAAAATAGGCCAGGCGCAGTGGCTCACACCTGTAATCCCAGCACTTTGGGAGGCCAAGGCAGGCAGATCATGAGGTCAAGAGTTCGAGACCAGCCTGGCCAGCATGGTGAAACCCCATCTCTACTAAAAATACAAAAATTAGCTGGGCATGGTAGTACGCACCTGTAATCCCAACTACTAAGGAGACTGAGGCAGGAGAATTGCTTGAACATGGGTGGAGGTTACAGTGAGCCAAGATCATGCCACTGCACACCAGCCTGGGTGACAGAACAAGACTCTGTCTCAAAAAAAAAAAAAAGAATGTAGTACTGTGTTCTTATCCTATTTGAAAAATAAGGTGTAATAATAGTGTTTCATCAAATCTTTGATTGTGGTCTTGAGTGGTACATATTCCTTAGAGAATTCTATAGCTGGTTTCCTCCAAAGTCAGTCATTTTCAGAGATTTCTCGGGATATTCACAAGTAGCCTTAGAGGATCATGTTACATGCTCCGTGCTCATTTTAGTTGTCTGTAGTCTCCCTTGAATTTTTTTTTTTTTTTAAATGTCTAGGGTACATGTGCACAATGTGCAGGTTTGTTACATACGTATACATGTGCCATGTTGGTTTGCTGTACCCATTAACTCGTCATTTACATTAGGTATTTTTCCTAATGCTATCCCTCTTCCTGCTGCTCACCCCACAACAGGCCCCTGTGTGTGATGTTCCCCACCCTGTGCCCAAGTGTTCTCATTGTTCAGTTCCCACCTATGAGTGGGAACATGCGGTGTTTGGTTTTCTATTCTTGTGATAGTTTGCTCAGAATGATGGTTTCCAGCTTCATCCATGTCCCTGCAAAGGACATGAACTCATCCTTTTTTATGGCTGCATAGTAT